GATTGTCTCTTTTCACTAAAGGTTTATTGAAGTGTTGATGCCAGACGTTGTTTCCCCTCTAGCTGAGACTCCTTCCATCACACAGTCTCTTGGGCTTCCAGATATGGACAGCTGTGGCTTTGTTGGGCATCAAACTCATCTCTTGATGTTGGGGTGAATTATTAGACAGCAGCGCCACATGTGACCACACTACTCTCCAAAGTTAAAGCAACAAATATTTTCTACAGTTTATTAAACATTTATGGATACAAAATCTGAGTAACTTCAGGTGTTCCTGAGTGGTGCAACAGACTAAGTCGAGACCCCAACAGGAGATTGCGAGGAGATGCCATAGCCATCCATAAGTGAGTACCCAGGAGGAGAAGGTTCCAGAGTTTAAAAATCTATATAATTTAATCAGTTGAGAAGCGGAACAAAAAAATTATGAGAACTTTTGACTCAACTTAAGAAGTGTGAGTTGGGTGGACTCACACATTTCAGTACCGGTTTTGGGTGGACTCCACCACACGTTTCAGTACCGGTTTTGGGTGGACTCCACCACACGTTTCAGTACCGGTTTTAACAAATCCTCACCCACTTAGACTCGGGGAATCTCGGGGAATCTCCAGCACCAACTTAAGGGGTGTTCAGTTACTTTATTTGCTGAAGTGAAGTGTGTTAGATGAGCCGAATAATCAAGCGAACACCAGTGAACATCAGCGACTTCAGCAGCAGAACTTGGCCAGAAGTCATTGCGACCTGACACACTTCCCTTTTCAAACCCCAAACGAATGGCAGACAAAGCTTTAGCAATAAATTACTTTAAAATGCTTAACATTTCAACACCAAAACATTTGATTTGCTGGGGTTTAAATGACAAACTACTCCATCTGTTTTACACGACTGCTGATACAACTTCTTCTCTTTCCTCTGCTAGCTGGCTTATTAGCATGCTAAAGGCTACACGGCTAACAAGAACACAAAGAAGGGCATTGCACCACTTTTCTGCTCTAAGTCTATAGTCAAACAAAGCAAGTACTCACACACGATATGTATGTTATACTCCAACTTCTTAAAACCCGTTTTGCTTTGCAGCATTTGCAAGGCTAGCTGATTAGCTCATTTAGGCTAACCTGCTGAGGCTGAATGTGTTCCGTTCGAATAAACCGCTCTTCACTGTCGTCTCCTCCACTTCTTTACTGAGTGGCCTTTTGTCTAATGGAGGTGTGACGCCCATCTGAGTGGTGAGTCAAAGTGATGAAGGGTCTTGAAGTTAAGTTAACTAAAGAAAAGATGAGTTACTTCATCGTTTTGAGCTGACTTTCATTTTTAGCAGTGCATTGGAACGTCTCTTTCTTTATAACATCTCTGACGTCACGACCCCTGGTTCCTATTACCACCATTGTAAAGAAATTTGAGGGTTTTTTTTGTCAAACGTCTCAGCTGATTCAGCGAAATTCTCTTTTAAATAATATAAATATTGTAGGATGGGGGGGCTGAATGTGAAGGCAAGGCCTTCGCTAAGCTGTTTTGGTAAATATTCAACCTGAATGCTTTTGAAGGGTTAATGGGCTGAGAGGAGTCAAGCCCCAAAGTGGTCAGATTACAGGTCACTGACCTCATCTGAAGCACAGGTCACATCCTGTTCGCCATGTAGCCTCGATTTCTCTCACTGTTCTCTGAGGCTCAGACCGAAAGTAAAGCGACTCGGATTTCAGGGCGGCTAACCTCGTCTCAAACATGCGGGAACAGATACCAGCTGTTTTCCACCTCTGGTCTTTACTGTGGAAGTGAAACTGAGTTGATACAGATTGTCCCCTTTAACAGGAGCCTGACCAAAGCGAAACTCTCCATGCTCCAGTTGTGTTAAAAACGTGCTAGAATGTAATGTAATGATCTAAATATAACTCTTGGTTTGATGCAGTTTCGTCTGAGAATTTGCCCGTTAACAGTCAGTCATCTCTGAACTGAAACTAGGCCGAAACCTTCTTTCCTCAAAAGGGATGTGATGTTTCAGATCGTGCTGAGTAATGTGGGATTATGTGTGGTCAGCCACACGGCCTTCACCATCTTCACCGTGGCAAAGCCGTTATCCGCTCTGATTTGGGAAGGAAGGAACGGTAGAGTTTGTTTGTGTTCACGTTTGTATTTCATGAACGCCTTGAACCCTTGAATCTTAATAAATGACAACTGAGGTTGAATATGAATAAGAAAGAAATAATAAAGGTTTGGTGGTTAGTATTTTCTATAATCATTTGCAGACTGCTGTAAACCGTGTAATTTGTGTGCTTATAAGAATGTGTGTAGGTCCATAAGTGAGCCTAGGTGTGGGCAATGTGACAATATTTTATTATTATTGTACTTAAAGAACACTGAGTGTGTTTACATGCACTTATTAATATGTAGATAACTGCAGTAAATCAGATTTTATCAGTAATCCGATCAACGCATTTTCATGCACTTGAGTAATCAGATAATGCAGACACTCCAGGTCTACGTGAGTCAGACAGTAATCAGATTTCTGCTTTGCAACTAACCAATAAACTCACAGAAGAAGACGTGACATAAACGTATTGTAAAACTCATACTTTGTGCTGCAGCTTTAAAAAAAAACAAACAAAAAAAAACACGTTATTTTACCTGAGAATATGAACATGCATCTTCCCAAAGATGAAGAATATTTAGATCCGTAATTTTGTCAAGCATAAAGTCGGGTTCAGCGTCACTCTAACAGTGTTTTGCTGCATCTCACGGCATAGCTGCTTGCTTATTTCCAGGACCGTGGTCTGTTTTCACACATGCGCAGACTGAGAAATCTGAAAGAAATCAGAGTCAGAGTTCACATGCACTGAGAAATCTGGTTACTGAGCTAAAATCAAGCTCTCTTTATTGGATTTCTTAATAGGATTTCTAGACCTTACTCCGATCTAATAAATCAGAGTATGCTGTTTACATCACCACTTGAATAATCAGATGCATAAATCTGATTATGATCGGATTACTGAGTGCATGTAAACACACTCACTGTGTAACTACATGTTTCATTACAAAGTGTGCATAATTGGGCCTGTTTAATTAGATTTTGTGCTGTTCAGTTTGTGAAACATTGAATAAAAATCATAGTAAGTGTAGATTTATGATCGTTATTACAATATATTTATATAAAAATTAATTCCATTTAATGTTTTACCATTTGTATGCATTTTTTTTTTATTTGTGGTCATGATTTCTTAATTTGTTCCCGCAATTAATTCTCTCATTTTAATTGTGCACACGTTTTCTTTAATTTGTGGTCACAATTTCTTACATCATTCTCTCATTTTCTTGTAATCGTGCTCATGTTTTCAATTGTGCGCCCTTTTTTTTTGATTCATGCGCAAACAAAATAAATGTAGTAGACACAGGCCATTTGAAACTGTCTGATGGGTTTTGATGTGTTAGATTGATGAGATAATGGACAGAGATGCTCATTAGAATACTATGCTTTGGACCTTTTTACAATGATTACGTGCTGCATCAACTTTTTGGCCAAAAAGCAAGGAAAATTTGTGTTTTTATGATCTGAGGCCTTTAAATGTTTTTCCCAGGTTTTTCTCAGGAAACCGATTGGCCATTTCCAGTTACCTGTAAGCTTAGACATGAAAACATCACACAGTCAAATAATGAGAATTAAAGTAAAACTAAAAAAGCAACACTCATGCTGATATGGAACAAACATGCGCAGGGAGAAGTAGCAGTTCTGCCATGCAATGGGAAATTTTTTCATTATTTATTTTTTTATGCTTGTTTGCGTTTTTTGGACTATGAAGCTGGTTATTTCCTGTTATTTCCAGTGTGGGGTCACATGGCTAGTTATTTCCACACTGAACCATGTGACCCCACACTGACCCAAAGCTTAAGTTCTGCTTATTCTTCCCTTCATTTCTCTGGTGACTGTAGATGGGAGACAGAGGTGTGACAGTACAGCGTATCACATTGTATCTAAGGGGTGCACAGATATGATGATATGTTGGATTCGTATCAATATTAGTAAACAAGTATCCAATATTCAAAACAGTATTTGATGACGTATGTATTGTACTCCGGAAGAGTAACACTGTTACTGAGGTAAAATATCTTTATTTTTAATTTTACTACATTTTACTTTTTATTTTCCAACGTCCGCTTGTAACGTTTGTGTAGGTTTATCTAACTCTTGTCTAAGAATCAAACAGGCTGTCTTTGTAACTGTGCCTTTGAGACTGATGTATGTAAATGAGCTCTGTTGTGATTGGCTGCCTTGCCTCATTCAGAAAGCAGTCCTGGCTGGAACACTCCTTATAACTTCAGTGTGGATGGGTGGGGCTACACTCTCTATGCTGAAAAGGCGAATACATTTAACTGTGCTTGTTTTTGTGACCTCACAAAAGCACTTCATTCAAAACTGGCAGTTTTTGCAGCTTAGTTTCCATATGTAGACTGTGTGATTTGATCTTGTACCTTTGATAATCAGACATCACATCAAAATCCTGTTTCTTACAAGTGAGGACAAGTTGGTTTTCAGTGATATGGGCCCTTTAAGCTGCGAGCAGCATTTATAAAGCACAGCTTAAATTTAGTGTTTCTTTTTGCTGCTGTCAGTCTGAATTGATCAACTCCACTGTGCTGTTCTGCAGTCCACATATTGTGCTTTTGGAATATTGAATGCTGTATTGAGCTAAAAATGAAAAGGTTAACATAGAGCAGGATTTCAGCCATGCTTTATTTTTGCTGTACCAAAAAATTGAGACACCACTGTATCATACTGGACTGTTATAATGGCAATATAATCATATGTTGTGATATTATGGAAAATATTGTGTAACTTTAAAGCAGTTGTTTAGCAAAAAATGTAATGTTCTGTTTTCCACTTCACCCAAATGTAGTTAACCAGCCAAAGCACAATGTATCTCCTTTTTTGCCAAACTATCACTTTAAAGACTTCATAAAACACATTAAACATTGTTTTCTGTGTTTCCGCTTTCCTCTATGTGTATGTACAGCTGAATGTCGGCCTGGAAAGCGAGGAGGGAATGTATTGGGCTCGAAGCTGACGAACAGTTCCTCTTTTTGGCCTTCATCTGCACAGCCAGAGACGACAACAGCTCCTCGAGCAAGAAGAAGTAAGTGTGAAACTAATCTAACAGCTCTGTGAAGGAACGCGTGATAGAGCCAGGCTGTTTTTCTGTCTCAAATGACTCAGTAAATGTGGAAATGCGCTGAGAAGAAAATTGTGCGCTGATACTACTAGCCTTTGTTTGAGTTTGCATATGTGTGTTGATGCTGAAAACACACTGATAATGATGATATTTTAGGTTTCTTGTAAATAAGCATAAATATGGACGGCAGTGGACCGTGAAAGATCCGTCCGTTTTTTTGCATCAGAGACAAACATTGAAAATCTGGTTTAAAGGGGAATTCTAATGTTTTTCAAAATTTTAACTGTATTATTAAATTGTTAATACAAACAAAGTCATTCAGAGTGGTTTGATGTGAAACGGGTCATTGTAGAGAAACTCAGTCAGAACCACATGCCTACAATGTAAATTAAGCCATTTTATTTACTGTAAATCTGCATGTGTGTTCTGAGTTTGTATATGGAATGTTGATGATTGTAAAATAGTTACAAATCTAAAAAACAAAGTTTTTCTTGGGCCTGTTTTTCCTTACAACACCCTGCATGTACCTCTCCACCTTGAATTCATTTTAAAAAGTATATTTTAGGCCAAAACCTCAGAGATCAGGCAGTGTATTCATTACCCTTTCATGTAACAACTTTCTGTGAGGAAGCTTTTAGAGATGGATGTCTGGTTCCTATCACCACCACTGTGAACAATTCTTGCACTGCAAGTTTCTTTAGAATGGAGCATTATGCATCAAACCACTCTGAATGACATTATTTACATCCTAACCATTTAATTATGCAGACATTTTGACAAGTTGATGGAATTCCCCTTTTACTGCCAGTTACCTGTACCATAGTCCTTATAGGACAGCCTGTAACTCGGTGGCTTTGCAACATCGCCAGGAAGTTACTTCGAGCCTTACATGACCAGGCTGTTTCTCTTTGAATGTGGAAAGACCTAAATGTGGAAAACCGAAGTTTAAATTACCGTTTCAAAAACATATTTGAAATCACTGATAGAATCGGACAAAAACCTCATTAATAGTTTTTAATGTTTGGCTCAATCTTTTTTTGGGTTGTTCTGGTTACTGTGCTTGCACAGATACCCACAACGAGGGGGGCTTTCCCAGCTTGTGGTGTATCCAGCAAGCTGTTTGGCTCTTTTGTTTGAAGGACAGGACTTACTCTGTAAACAGATGCCATGTTGAGTGTGACAAGCTTTACCATTCAAATTTCAACCAGTGGCCGGTCTCCTCATTTATAACATCTCTGCCCATATGCAGGCCGGTACGACTCTATTTATGCATGACTTTCTTGATACTGTGTGTTGTGTTTTTTTTATAATATTCATAAAACATATTGAACAGAAAAATATTCAGTTGTCTATTATAGGAAGGAGAAAGTCAAAGGACGGTAAGTTCCAAAAACTGATTTAAAAACTACAGAGACTCCTAACAACCAACTGGAAGACCTGGTAGACACCAAAACTGCCCCCATCAGATAAACAGCACTTAAAGCTTTCATCTTTGAGAGAGAGGAGAAAATCAAGCTGCTTCAGATCTGAAAACATCCACAGGTGTTTCTGTCCATCCTTCCACTGTGAGAAGACAACTCAGAGCTATGGGTCTGAAAGGATGTGTAGCTGTTCAAGAAGAACCTCACTGAGAAAAGGAGACGGACACATCAAACAAAGAAGCTGAACAATGGACTGACCACCCCAGAGTCCAGACCTCAGCATCACTGAATGTGTTTGATTACTTCAGAAAATGATCAACCAGCTTCTAAGACTGAACTTTGGAGGTGTGTCTGCAGATTTCTTTGAGAAACAAAGTGAGGGTCCTGAAAAGATGCTGTAATAAAAGTGAAGAGTGGACACACTAAATTCTGAAAAAAATACAATTATTGCAGCTTCTATGTGATTTTCATTTAAATATGTTTTTTGTATTTTTTCCTGACACTGAAAAATGAATACCTTGCACTTAATGGCCTTTTAAACTGGAAATTAAGTAAATAAAATTCTCTGACTTTTGTACAGTGCTGTGTATTTAAAAGCAGAGCAGATTCTGTCATATAAACTGCATTGTTAAAATACCTCATTGATTTAACCTTTGGCTAACATCTGAGAGCTACTTGTACATCCGCACAAGAGTCGGAGTCCCCTGAGTCCAGAGAAAGTTTGTCCTTAGAGTCCAGCGAGTGTGTGATTGTGTTCTGTTTTACGCCTGCGCCTCACGCTTTTAATGCCCGTGCTGGTCTAGCGGGAGAGTAGAGCGGTTGGTGTTGATTTCGATGTGTGTGGGTGTTCTGTGACTTTAATAGACGGCGTCAGCGCACTGTGTCGGCAGTGTTCTATTCAGCTCTGTAGGTTGTTTTGTAGGAAGCCGTTTAAGGAGTGTGAGAAATGAATCAACACTTTTTAAATAGTCAGATTATTATCAGTTGTGCATGATGTGTTGCAGTGTCCACTGTGCCGAACTGACCTCCAGAGCGTTTGGCTTGTTTCATAAAGGCTTTGGTTCCACAGCATGCTGAATTACAAGTCCTAATGTTATTTATTGAATTGTCACACTAAAACTTGGTCAGTCTTGAATGAAGTCGCCAGATATGAACTGTAATTGAGTTGAATGATGGTTAAAGAATACTAAAATAGATACTAAAAAAAGTGTGTATATACATGTGTGTGTATGTATGTTATGTGTGTATGTGTACATGTATATATGTGTGTATGTATAAAAATATACTCACACACACCACGGGGGGGTGATGGAGCCAATCCAGCGGTCATTGGGCTGAAGGTAGGAAACATCTACCTTGCCAGTCCATTGAATAATTTATAGTAGATACTGAATCATTCATAGCAGTTGCTGAATAACTTATAGTAATTACTGAATAATTCATAGTTGTTGCTGAATAACTCATAGTAGACACTGAATACTTGTAGTAGTTACTGAATAATTAATAGTCATTGCTGAATAATTTATGGGATAATTACTGGATTAAAGGCCTCAACATTAACCTATAGAAGATAGATGTAGATATTACTGTAATTTTCTGTACAGTTGCGTTGCTTACATAGTATGTTAAGCCGTGAATTAAATTTAAGTGTGAGTTCCATTATAAATAATCAAGTTTGAGTCTTTTCATTTGTTTTACTGTTAAGCAATGATCCAAAAACAATCATTGTTTTTCTTTCTGTTAAACTGTATACACAATACCTTTTCATTAAATTCATATGAAAAAAAATTAATAAAACATCTCCTCTGCTACTTACAACCCAAATGTTGTTTGCAATCTGCGCTTTCTGCACATTTTCTCCACTAGTTTCATTGAGCTGCGAGTGAAAATTACAACTTGCTTTTTATCAATAGTGGTAACTGAGAATTCTGAGGGTTTAGAACCGAGTACGCCTGCAGTTTAATAGATAAAGGTTCTTCCACCTCCAGAACATTCCTGACTGACTGCAGGAATGTAAATATCCCTATCCACATTCATATAGCACTGAAATGGAAAGTCAAACCTGACTGCGTATCTTTGGGTGTGTTAACAGGATTATGTCGCCGCCAACGGGCCAACAAAACTTTCACATCCTGCGCGCCTGCGTTTCTGCTTGTCTCCATGGTTACAGGGGAGGGGACAGCTGGCTGGCCGGACAGTGGCATGTGTGGAACTGGCTCTTGTGCACACTACGAATTGTCCACAGCTGAATATAGGAACCAAGACCTGGCCACTCAGACTGGACAGTGTGCTGGGAATGAGTGATAGTGTTCCCTCATTGTGATTCCATTACTGACCATTCAGTTAGAATAATTTGGTCAATACATGCTGATGTCTCACGAATGAATGAAAATCTTTAGGTGCTTGTTAGAATTTGCTAGATCAGTTGAGCTACTCCGTTAGATCGAGAGCTCCATCAAGAATGTTCTTTACCTTTCAACAGAACTTCTTTCTTGTGATGAACTTTTTAGCTTTGTTAATTTCTTTAATGTTAATTGGTTTTGAATATTCCGTCATTCTCTTTACTTCTGGTCAAAATTTTATTTTGCTCTCAGTGAAATGACATTTTATTATCTTGACACTATCAATGACCATTCTTTACTCAGTCCTTAAAAGGATGGCTTGGTCAAGATGGCTAACTCTGCTTTTAGTGGTAATATAAATGCAGATTAGTTGTATGCATCTGCTGATTGGTTACTGTCTATCGTCCATTATTTGTTAACCAGATTAGCAATTCTATTTAAAGAGGAATTCTTTGCTCTTACTTACCTGCCATGTAAAATCTGCTGGCAGACTTGGGAAGGCTCTTTAACTACATTGTACAGTCTCTCTGCTGGCAGGCCCAAAAAGACTCTTTAACCGCAGTGTACAATCTTTCTGCAGGCAGGTCGGAAAAACTCTTTAAATGACTCTTTAAAATATCTCTGCTGGCAGACCCTAGAAGGCTCTTTAACTGTGGTATGCAATCTCTCTGCCAGCAGCCCAAGAAGGCTGTTTAACCGTGGTATAATCTCTCTGTCGGCAGGCCCGAAAAGACTCTTTAACCGCAGTGTACAATCTCTCTGCTGGCAGGCCCAAGAAGACTCTGAAATTGCCGCACAAAATCTCTGTTCTGGCAGGCCTGGGAAAACTCTGAAATTGCCGTGTAAAATCTCTGTGCAGGCAGGCCCAAGAACACTTTGATATTGCTGTGTAAAATTTTTGTGCTGGTAGGCCTGAGAAGATTTTGAAATTGTTCGTCAAATCTCTGTGCCGGCAGGCCTGGGAGGAATCTGAAATTGCTGCGTAAGATCTTTGTGCTGGCAGGCCTGGAAAACCTCTGAAATTCCCATGTAAAATCTCTGTGCTGGCAGGCCTGAGAAGACTCTGAAATTGCTGCGTAAAATCTTTGTGCTGGCAGGCCTGAGAAACCTCTGAAATTGCCGGATTAAATATCTGTGCTGACAGGCTCGAGAAGATTATGAAATTGTTGGTAAAATCTCTGTGCTGGCAGGCCCAAGAAGA